TCTTACCGATTATTTGTTTATGGCTCAAACTGTACTGCAAGACCAGTATTTTTAAGAGTCCAACTAAACTGTACTGATAGGTGCTAACTAGCATGAAATATTAGCCTAGGCTTTCCTTTTTATCATTTCTAACTAATTAACATCATATTGTGTGTATGATCATTCAGTGTATTAGTTACTAACTTTTCACTTATAGTTCTTTTGAATAAAGGTGAGAAAGTTTAGGATTTTAAGAAGTCAATAAAATTATATCATTACTTACAGTTATGAAATGCTAGTGGACTGTAAAACTTCAGCAGACGATGGAAGATATAGATTAGTTGTTATTATTTCATTCAGTCCATTCAGTCCAGATATCAGAAATTCGTTTAAACGTCTGTGCATCATCAAACAACAAAAACCCATCCATTATTAGTTTTGGTTTAAATTAGCTTATTAGTAGTACGTTGAACAGATTTCATGTTTAATTCACTTGACATTGTTTTAATTGAATCTTCCCATTGATGTTTTTGGACTGAAATTGATCAGTCTCTTATTGGCATATGTGCATACTGTGCGTATGCCTCGATATTGCCTTAATTTACATCAATGGGAAGATTCAAATAAAACAATATCAAGTGAATTAAACTTCAACCCATTGCACAAGCAAGTGGCTATCAGGACTCAGTAGCTAAGTGGATAACGCGATGGCGTTTGAAGCGAACGGTACTGAGTTCGAGTCCCAGAGTGAACATCAACTCTGAGATGCAGGTACATCCAGCTGACGAGTGCCAAATAGGACGAAACGCGCGTCCTGGATTCCACTGCTAGCCACTATCCATCTTTGCTTACAGATTTCATGTTTGTTGTAGTATACTCTTTATACTCTCTTTTTATTTACTTGATATTGAACATCTATCGAACATCAGTCTATCAGTTGTGTGCTTCAAAATTTCACTTCTTGTTCACAGTTAAATTCTTGGGGACAACTCAGAAACAACTAATAATTGTTACATTTCCCAGTTCATCTTATTTACTTTGTATATAAGTCAGTTAGTCAATCACCATCACTGTATGGCTTGGGATAAATGCGTATGAGTTTAGATTCCTACATCTTAAAAAGATTAAGAAAACAACTGAATAGAATTTAACAAACTGAAAAGAGATACAAACGAATATCTTCTGATTGATTGAATTAGTTCATTTTTTTCTTTGGAAATGTAATTCGACTATGCGATGAAAGTACCAATTAAAATGTAATGAAGTTTGTAAACCAAGCAAACCAGCAACGGCTTCATTCTCGAGTTTGATGATGTCAGGAGTTACAGTATTTCACTAAAATACACAAATAAACACTGATTTTAAGATGAATTTCATTGAAATCAAATTCTGTTTGCATGTATTCATCTCATCACATAGAATACAGTGTATATTAGAGGTTATTGCATAATTAACAGATAAGATTGATCTTTTACAAGGTCATGGTCATTTTTGATGAATTCGTTACTTACAATATGTAAATTTAGGTTAGTGATTGTTTGAAAACCTGATTAAGGTTTCATTATATTCCAGGTAAAACTACAGTGTCTATATATATATATATATATATATATATATATATATATATATATATATATATATATATATATATATATATATATATATCATATGAATAACTTTACATTAACTTTTGTTGTTAGTAAAGAGCATTACTGTTTGACAGAATTCCTTTTCCAGTTTTTTTCTATTAACGATTGGATTTGATGATTAACTGTTGGTATAATTTCGTTCTTTCTTTTGTCATGTACAATAAATCTTTCAGCTCTATTGTTGTATTATTCACAAGATCCCTAAGCTACAAAAATCCATACCCTCTTAAATCTTCTTTCAGAACACTAGGTAGTCAGTGGATTAATGAGACGACAATTTATGGACGACCTTTGAATGACACTAAAATGACCTTGAGAATGTCCACCTCCTAACTAGAATTAAATGAATGTTATAACCTAATACAATGAATTGCAATTACGATTTAAAGTTTATTGATTAAGGGTTATGAATTAGGTTTATGATTTTCATCACGAACTGACATCAACTAAGATGCCAAAATGCCATTTAGCCAAATAGCTAAATGAATTTCGCTTCAAATTCCAAGACATGTTAAATCTGATTGGTTCATCCATAAATTAGAGTCTTGCCAGTGGATTTTGTTATTCAAATACATAAACTGCAGCTTAAATAATAAATTTCACTCTGTACATAATTAAGAGATACGTTTGAGCAGATGGTTTATTATTGATCAACTGTGATATATGAATCTTAAAAAATGTACCGACATTCTATAGTACAAAAGAAATATTAGGAGGAATTTTCATGAATATTATAGTAATTCCATTAGTTGAAATCATGAGTCAGTCGAAGCTAGACGATCATGTAAAACCTGGAAGCACTGGATGTGCACTGCTGAAGTGTCCTAAAATAGGACGAAACGGCCGTCCATTGCTTCCAGGTTTTCTATGGTGGTCTAGCTTCAATTCACTCATGATCTCAACTATTGAAATTACAAAAGAAATAGCTTGGAATTCGAACTAAATAAAAATACCATAAAACAATTGTTTAGTTAATACTGATTCGTATGCACACTAACTAATTCATCAATGAATAGTCGTCAACGTTTCATGTTTTCTTTTTCCTTTCCTCTTCCAAACATTTATCAGTTTTTAAATAAAAATGTTATTAAGATATTCATTAAAAGAAGCTGACAGATACTGATCAAATTCAGTACTAAATATCAACAACAATATATATATATACAAGCCGATACAAATGATACATTTATTGTTAACACCATGGACTAATCGTAGTTAAAAATAATAATGATAACTGGAGGCATTAAACAACTTTTTCATCTTGGTATAAAACTTCTCATTAGTGTACATCTATAAACTCTGGGAGTCTAGCTAAATACCATCAGTCAGTAAGTCAGTAACAACGTAGAACTTCGTACGTACGTACATTAGTTCGAGATGCCACACCATATTAGCACAGAGATGAAGTTGTCCATTCAAATCCCGTAGTGGTAAAGACAGTAAAAGTATAAGCAGTAATCAGAAAAATTAGGGTTTGAAGATGTTATTAAAGGAGTGTAATACAGTGAAATAAATTTTGAAAGAGAAAAAAAAAGAAAGGCACATGAAGAATTCAGAAAATTAGAATTTGGGAGAACACAAAGAGTGGATGCACCCGTGCCATTGCAAACGATTTTCAGCCATGTCATTCAAGGTCTCTAACCATCGATTGCTATCATCTCGCAGTCCCCAACCACGTAGTCTACACCTACCAACATCGTTCAACCCACTTGTCAGTGACTTCATGGATTTGTGCCATGTTATGGTCTGGCCGCTCCTAGCTTTCCTCCAACCTACTCCTACACCAGAAAACATCGCACATCGAGGCAGTCGGTGGTTGAGCATACGTAACACGTGTCCCAGCCATCTCAACTCATGAAGTTACACTACTTCATCAATTGATTTGTCATCCTTACCTAGTACCCGTTTCCTAACAACTGCATTACTTACTCGATGGTCCCAGGATATACGAGCGATGTTTCGAAGACACCTATGATCAAATACTAGTAACCTACGAATATCATCTACTCTTACCGGCCATGTTTCACTGCCATTAAGTAGGAAGGAACGAACTGCTGCGCAGTAAACACGTCCTTTGGTTGATAGACGGATATCTCGCCTACGCCATAAATGACGCAAGTTGGTAAAATCTAGTTGAGCCTTTTGTATCCGTGCTGAGATTTCGTCACACACCAGACCACAAGGGCTGATGAGACTTCCAAGATAAGTGAAGCGGTCGACACGCTTAACTACTTCACTCTCTATCATTAGTTCGGGTGTCGATGCAACCCAGTCCTGAAGCAACATTCTCCATATCGAAGGAGAGAATTGCATCCCGAACATGCTTGGATTTTTGCTTAGAGTGGTCAGAAGACTGCATTTTGTCAGCGTCTTCACCAAATAAAACTATGTCATCTGCATATTCTAAGTCAACAAGTGAACCTCCGGGTAGAAGTTCAACCCCTGGAAATTCAGATGAGGAGAGTGTTATCTCTAAAAGTACATCGACGACAAAGTTGAACAAGAATGGAGAGAGTGGACAGCCCTGACGAACACCACTTGAGGTAATCAATTCTGATGACAGTTCGCCATAAGCTCTCACTCGACCAGTTGTGTTCGAGTAGAGAGCCTTTATAAGGTTAATGTACTTCTTTGGTACTCCTTTCAGTGACAAACACTGCCGTAGAACCTCACGATCAACAGAGTCGAATGCTGCCTTACGGTCAAGAAATACTACCATTGTGGAGCGTCTGAATGTGTGTCTGTGTTCTAGAACCTGACGTAGTGTAAATATCTGATCCATACAACCACGTCCGTGTCGTAAACCAGCCTGATTTTCTCTAGTCTGTTCTTCACGAGCTTTGGTTAGGCGTCGAAGTATTATTGAAGCTAATATTTTAGACACTATATTAGTCAAACTGATTCCTCTGTGATTGTCACAAGAGGACTTTTGTCCTTTCTTATAGACTGGCACAATCAGTGATTGAGACCAGTCAGATGGGATTGCGTCCAGTTCCTGAATTCCACCTAGGACGACAGTTAATCTCACTGCTAATACTGGACCACTATCCATAAAAATACCATCAGATTTCATGATAAGCACTTAGCTTTTGAACTACTGAGGCAACATCCAATTATTGATATGTTTAGCTACAATCAGTCGACGAATATTAATGAATGAAATTGATTATTTATGAATTAAGTAGCTCTTGTATTCAATTGCTAATGGAACTATGTGTATACACTTCTGAGTAGTTTTATACTAGGGCAAACTAGTTGTTTAGTGTTTTGATTTTGAATGTTATGATTAGTTTCTGACGAATAAAGCATAGAAACAAATAATTATGTTCTTTTATTTATTTATTTATTATTGTTTTCTCATACATATTGTAGAGTTTATCAAATTGTACATATAAATGGCATCTAATACAACAATACCAGGATTGGCATTTTATGATTCATTAATTAATAATAATATATCAGAATCAAAACGATTAGTTGAAATACATAAAATTGATATTAATGCCAGATTAAGTCATGTAAGTTGATATTATATATTGTATATATATATATTACATATATTTATTTGAACACAACCAGGTCTGTTGTGAGATAGGAACTCACTGAAGACAATGGTGTACGGTAGCGCAACTTCGTGGATTGGTTGAAGTTAGACATTAACACCGTTGGATGCCGGCTCAGTGGTCTAATGGTTAAGTGCTCGCGCGCGAAGCCAGTAGGTCCTGGGTTCGAGCCCCGGGTGGTGCGGGGTCGTGGATGCGCACTGCTGAGGAGTCCCATACTAGGACGAAACGGCCGTCCAGTGCTTCCAGGTTTTCAATGGTGGTCTAGCTTCAACTGACTCATGATTTCAATCTGTGAACACATAAGTATTAATACAAAGGGGCACCAGATAGATCACTCAGTTGTTTGTGTTTTCTTCCATGGGTGGTTTTGAAAGCTTGATTAGTTTTTTTTCTTTAAGGTGTTTCTTCTTTGTTCTCTGTGTCGATGACTGTTGTCAAGATTTCCAAATGTTCTGACGTGAGTTTCCTTTGTAGCTTCATCTTTTGGTCCTCTATGACGTGTTGGTATTTGCGGATCCTGTAGTGTGTATCCGTTATCATTAGGTGTACCGTTTTTCTTCCACTTTGCTCAGCTATTTTCCATCCTAATAAGCAGTTGATTGGAGGTCTATATTTTACACTTGTTGGTAGAACATGCTGACGAAGATACTCATGGAGAAAATACAGTTGTTCTCGAGTGGAAGCCTGCCTTTTGGCGGAATTCTCCCATTTTCGAACAACGAGAAGCATATTACGCTCATATGATTTTGAGATGGTGGAGAAAATTTGAGCTACAAATCTTCTCCACCATCTCAAAATCATATGAGCACCAGATATATATGCACCACACAGTAATAATGAGAATGTGAAGAGATAAAGAATGTAAAGTGCGTATATGCAACAACAAGTATAGCAATGAACAGAGATTAGTTTATGATAGTGAAATAACAAAAATGAGAGGGGCAGTTCAATTAACAAAAGTACAGTCACAGAGAATTCTTCCACTTAAAGAGGTTACGTCTTTTTTATGAAGAAAGGAGAATAAAGTTAAAGCAGGATCGCGATTGGCTTCTATTTTGAGCCTGTCTGATAACGTCTCTAGTCACTGTGTTACACCATCTTTATGATCCCAACCATGGAGTCGTTAAGGACCAACAGAAGCCAGTCCTGTACAACTTTCTTTCATACCGCGACACCATGTCATATACTGACCACTTCTCCGCTTTTTCCAGCCAGTCCCAGTGTCGGCAAATTATATATATATGCAACATCAAAATGTTTAAAACCATAGTGATATATTGGAAAGAGACTGGGAGTTCTTAGTAGGACTAGGAACATCGGTTCAAGTTGCCATACCTCATTAGTATAATAACATGAATACCAAATTTATAGAAGTAGTTCCTATAATGGTAGTAATGAAATTCAATGTCTTATATGCAGAACTATTGAGATTAATCAACTCACTGTTTTTTATAAGAAAGTTATTGTTGTATTCAAATGTTGTAATGCTTCACATTATTGTAATGTAACATACATTCTGAAAATAATAATTATAGAAGTTGCGCCAGTTAGTTAGTTGACAGACATGATCAGCTTGATATAGATAGTAATATAAGAATGTTATAAGTTATCTACTTTGGAAATTATTTAAGTAGTATATTCATGACATGGATTACAGCAATGAAATGCATCAGCCGAGAAAGTTTAATTCTTCTTAAGTGAACATCTTGTTGATTTATGAACGGTGCATATAAGGAATGAATTATTTATAATCATTTACAACTAGAGAAAATAAAATGAAAGCAGAGAACACAGAATGAAAAGGACAATCATCACTACGATGGGTTAGTCAGGTTTACTATCATACATATGTCAGGTTATTTTACAATATACTAACCAAACTAATTAAGGCTGCTAGGGATGGTGTAAATGTAAAATGACAGCAGGTAGGTAAGTTTACTTAGTGAATTCAGTAATAAAAATGACTGAATATTTCAAGTTCCTATAATCTTACGAATGGAATAAGATGAACTTACAGATGTAATAACATTCAATGTCTATTTTCGGAAGAGAAGTAAGTGTCGATGCAGCGAACGAAATCGATGGGAATAATCTTATCTGACGGATAGATTGTGGTAGATTATTCCAGAGTCTGTAAAATTTGCTGTTAAATGAATTCATATAGAGAGATGATTTAGAATGTGATTGTTTCAGTAATGACAAAGAGTTAAGGATACTGTAACTAGAAGTTTCTGCATATTGAATTATTTTTCTGGACGTAAAGAATAGTTTATTAGGTATTTTGAAGTAATCGATTAGATTTTGTTTGAGTCTCCTCTTCAATATCTTGTTGTGCTGCGAACCCACTGTGACTGGTAGTTCATGTTAATTGTCGCTGAGAATTTATCATTACATGACTGACAATTACCGGTATTCTAGTTTATTCCAGGGTGAGTAATAGTGAGGTTAGACGCAGGGTATTAGGGAATGATGGCAAATCAGTTGATGAGGTTGTGAAGCTGGTTGGGTAACGTGTTACATATGCCCGAACACCGATCACCACGACGCGCAATCCTGACTAATGTTGGGAATGGTTGAGAGAAAGTTAGAGGCAGCCAAACCAAAACGAGGCATCATTGCTTGAAGTCTAAGCCATGTTGATAAATGCAAACTACTCCGTTAGGGTCAGAGTGACTATCGTAACCAATAGTTGGAGACTCTTGGTGACATGGCTCAGAATCGATCGCAATGTCGTAGATGTATACACACTCTGTCTTTCCTTAAACTACGAGATTAAAATCGCTTTTTATCTTTCTTTCTACGAATTAATTCTTTTTTTTGTATTATGTCCTTGTATACAATCTTTATTTCCGTAATTTGTGCGAGTATAATATTTTCGAGTTCTGGAGTGAACATCAACTCTGGGATTGAGATACAACTAGTTGACGAGTTCCGAATAGGACGAAACACGCGTCCTGGATTCCACTGCTAGCCACTATACATTTTTACTATTTTAAAGTTTGAATTTCGTTATTAACTTTATATCATAAATTTTCTGCTTTGCTTGAACAATGAGAAGACGTAGTTGATTTAGAGAAAAATGTGGCATATTTACGCTATACATTTCGAACAATCCGGTCACACATATAATTGCCAAGGTATTTTATGTGAAAATCAATAAAGGTCAATGAAATGATGGATTCAAGTTTAAAAAAAAAACTGGTAATTATAAATAAAGAATAGAGAGATAATTATCATCATATGGCATGAATAGGAAATTGCTGTATTACCCTTAGCCATAAACTAACTTAAGCTTATCAAGATTAATTCACAGTTACAACAAATTGTTTCTGTGCATATGAATGGGTTTGAACTTACGAATAGTCAAAGCTTCTATAAACCTAAGAATTTGTCCTTGACAATTTCTAATACAACATTTTAAAAGTTGTATTGATGTCAATTTTGTGAACTGTTTGAATTACGTGCTTTGCTATCGATGAACATAGTTTTCTTCCCGTGTTAATTACTTACACCTGTTACCCCTCGTGAAGCAGGACAAACCAACAATCAGGATTCTTCATCCAACTCTGTCCTGAGCAATCCTTTCTAGTTATTTCCATTTGCTATTCATTCTTTTGATATCTGCTACTGATACTTGATGCATTATGTACTTAGGTCTTCCTCTTTTCCCTTTTCCCTCAGGATTCCAAGTAAGCGTTTGCTTCGTGATACAGTTTGACGATTTCCGTAATGCATGTCTTATCTACTCCTGGCGTTTTTTTTCCTAATTTCCTCTTCAGCTGGAATCTGGTTTGTTCACTGCCACATTAGTTTGTTGCTGATGGTATCCGATCAATGGATTAAGGGTATCTTTCGTGACCAGTTGTTCATAAATACTTGTATCTTTTGGATAATGGCTATCGAAAGTGTCGAAGAAGATTCCATAAGATCATCCTATCCACATTCAAACACTTTCTCATAGTCAAGGAAGTTGGTGTATAGTAGCGAATATGATTTAGTCGATTGTCCAACGATGATCCGTAGTGTCGCTATTTGGTCTGTGTACCATCTATCTTCACGGAATCCGGTCTATTGATCTCGAAACGTAGCGTCTACTGGATTTTTCATTAGGTTCATCAACACTTTTGGAAACGTTTCCTGGTACTGATAGTATTGTGATGACTCTGTAAATCTCACATTTGCTCAAATCTCCTTTCTTTAGTATCCTGGTGAGATATTCTTCCTTCCAGTCTTTCGGCACTTGTTCTTCCTCTCAAATCTTCCTGAATAGAACGTGAATTATCTTATTAGTTATGTCTTAAATCAGATACAGGAATAATTTGACTTCAAAACATTTTTCCACATTAAAAACCTCCGAAGTAGATCTGATATTGTGATCCTCAAACGTGACAAAGGTTCTGGTGTGGTTGTTATGAATAAACATGACTACAAGGTTAAAATGCAATCTATATCTGATCAGACAAAATTCCTAGAGGACGTTCCATCCAAATATTAATGTTGGGAAATTGAAATCCAGGGTAACGTCCAATATATTGAAGCTCCTTAAAATGAATATAGTAAATAAAGAGGTATTTAAAATGTTAAAACTTACCGGTTCTGTTCTCCCGAATTTGTACAGATTGCCTAAAATTCATAAACCTTATAATCCATTACTACTTATATTATGTATATGTGGTTCACCTGCACATGAACTAGTGAAATAGTTAATTAAACTGACAAACTCAATCCGTAGTAAAATGTGCAAGTTTTCCTTATAAGACACATTTGAACTAAATGATCTTCATCACATTAGTGTTAAATAAAAGACTATGCATTCTATTGTTGTAAACTCTCTTTTTACTAGTGTACCCTTAATCAAAAGTGTTGATTTTCTTTGTGACCATATATCTAGTATTTTCCACGTTTTTCCCATTTGTTTCAACACTATTAAAAGAACTACTTTTATTGTGTAATGCTAAAGTTCAATTCATGTTTAAAGGTGGACATTTTCAACAAGTTGATGGTATTGCTCTGGTTATCCCTATGAGATCTCTTTTAACTGATGCCATATTTTGAAAATATGATGAGTGAGGACATCATCAAGGTAAATATATGGAAGATACGTGGATGACATATCAGTCATATGAAATAAAGATTGTAATGCTACTCAGTTATTAGATAAACTCAGTAACGTATAGAATTATATCGTTATGACTTATGAGGAAGAAAGTAATGACTAATTGCTCTTTATAGACATGCTTTTGAGTCGAAAGGAGGATGCCCTTTTTGGCTATTCGTAAATTCAAACCAACTCTCATTGAAAACCTGGAAGCACTGGACGGTCGTTTCATTATCGTATGGGACTCCTCAATAGTGCGCATTCACGATCCCGCACGCAGAAGTCGAAAACAGGACCCTCGGTCTTGCACACGAACGCTTAACCGCTAGACCACTGAGCTGGCATCCAACGGTGTTAATGTTTAATTTCAACTAATGCACGATATTGCACGACCGTCCTCCACTGTCTTCACCCAGTAACTGCCCCAAAAACAGATGCTGTTGAACTTCACTGGTCAAATCTTCAGACTAAACTGCGACAAATCCATTTTGAGGCTAGTCACTAGTGGGCACATGATAATTATCAGTATAGGAATGTGCACTGCTGATGAGTTTCATACTAGGATGGAACGACCATCTAGTGCTTCCAGTTTTTCAATGGTGCTCTAACATCATTTGTTTCATGGTCTCAAATATCACTTTATTTACTTGAGCCCGTGTTTCATTGACCTTTATTAATTTTCACATAAAATACCTTGACAATTATATGTGTGACCAGATTGTTCGAAATATATAGAGCAAATATATCACATATTTTCTGAATCAAATCTGTCTTCTCATTTTTCTGTCAAAATTTATAAAAGGAACTAATTGCTTTAAAGTTTCTACTGTTATTACATTAGACATTATCTTGCTACATGATAAATATTTCATTCTAAATGAAACTTGGCAAACTTACATTGTTCAATCTATGGTTGTTGTCATAGCATCATCATTTGACAATCAAACAAACTCACATAAACATATTTAACTTAGAAAATATAATAAAACCATAATACAAACTATCTAATATAATACATGTTACTTAATTAACAACTCTGAGGTCGAATATACATAATTGAAACATAAGGATTGCATTCTATCCATATCATTTGATATAACTTTAAATGAAATTCAGTAGAGATGAAATCGTAATGTACATTTTATGGCGAGATTACAATTTATAGACGAACCAATCACGTATAAGATAATAAATCGCGGATTTTGGTGCAAAGTTCACTCATCCATTTGAATAAATAGGGTGTTGGCATTTTAGTTGACTTCTGTTCGTGATGAGAACCCTAAATCCAATTCCTAACCTTGATCATCAACTGTAAATCATAATTGTAATTCCTCACACAGGTTTATAACCCTCATTTCGTCCTGGTTATTAGGTGGGTACTCTCAAAGGTCGTCCATAAATTATAGTCTCAACCAATTTATTTTAGTTTCTTTTGTTGAAATTATTAAATGATACATGCACTAGTTTGTAATACGTACTTTTTCGATGTATCTATATGTTCACGTAGGTTTTTCCAGGAGGATATATTCATGGATGGATTTAGATTAATATTCCTCGCTAACATATCAGCTCATTTTGTGGGGTTCAGTGACAGATAAAATCTGTTGATGAAGACTGAATAACCATAGGGACTACTTAAACCTTGATATGTAGTGTAATTGAATCAAGGCAATTCTCAGCAACAAATCTATCATGAAACATTGGTTAATAAATTCTGTAACTCTACCTAATCACTAACCTATTACTGTCTAACACAACACTGGGCTTTATTCACTTATTATTAGTGACTTACTTCACAAAATATAATAAGACATTTGACGAGCAATTCATTTCCAGGAAACTAAAAAATTGGAAAAGATTGATAGTTTTCCTGTAGAACTAACACAAAATGTACAAGTGTAGAACATTCTAGCGATTAACTTCAATTGCCTAACATTAATTAATCAACAATTGAGATTAAGCGGTATGACCTTTTCATGCCAAACTATTTTCCTAGATTATCTATTTCATGATATGAAATATCAATTCTGAGATTCAGGTACATCCAGCTGACGAGTCCTAAATAGGACGAAACACGTGTCCTGGATTCCACTACTAGCCATTATCCATTTTTTCTTGTGACTTAGGGTCATATCGAGGCAATCTACACAGGATGCACATATCCCAAGAAGAGATTGATCGATTTTAGTCGTAAACTACGATAGGAAGATACAACCAAACATTATCAAATGTATGATAGATTGATATGAAATTATATGGTGTATAAAATAAATATCATGACTGAACGTCATCACAAGGTATAAACTTCTTTTATGCTTTTCTTTTCTTTACTTTTCTTGTTTACTAAATAATTTCTCCTGTATCATTGAGGTCATTTTGGTTACTAGTTTAGTTTTCTTTTTTTTGTTGTTGTTACTGTCCACCTATTTACACATTCCTGTTTATCCATTTTGGTAGATAGTTGATAGACACACTTATGCATAAAACAGGTAAATCGATTTTATTTTCTTTTACTTTAGTGTTTCAATGAAATAAGGAAGTTTATATAATAATAATTTGTCCTTAGATGTAAATGAGGCACGTACGCACGTATATGCGCGCCAAATGCAAATGTAAATTAATGTAACAAAGAATATTTTTTTAGTTGATTTCTTTCCCATAACTAAAAAAAAGTAGAGAGAAAAGATGATGATGGTGATCTTGATGAGGATGATAACGAAGTGTGATCTTATGATGCATATCATGCACTTTAGTACATATATGCATACGCGACTATCATTCACAAGAAGTATTGCCCATCAAGGACAGTTCATACTTAAAGAACTTGATAACCAATCAAAAAAATATGGATTTGTTAATCATGTTGGTTATTAGAGTAATAGAAATTTACACCATTGAAATCACAAGTCGATCTAAGATAGAATACCATAAAAAACCTGAAAGTACTGGATGGCTATTTTGTTTTAGTATGAAACTCCTCAGTGTTGTACATCCACGGTCTCGCAGGCTGTACTTGAACCCAAAACCTTTTGTTTTGCACATGGATGCTTAACCTCTTGACTACGAAGAGCCCAAGACCATAGGTCCTGTTTTCGAGTACCGCGTGCGGGATCGTGCATGCGCACAGCTAAGGAGTCTCATACAGGGACGAATCGACCGTCCAGTGTTTTGAGGTTTTCAATGGTGAACTATCTTAGATAGACTCGTTATTTCAATTGTGCAAAATATTATAACCTCCATAAATCTCTCTTACTAATAGAAATTCAGTTGGGATTTCCAGATATGAAAACCTCTAGTATTATTTTAAGAATTTATAATTTCTATCTGTAAATAATGACAGCAACAAAACTATTGCACGGGTTCTTATGTCAAGACGAAGACTAAAAGGATGGTAGTTTTCAGGACTAATTTATGAACTATGATTATCTGTATTCTTATTATATAAGTATTAAGTATATATATATATATATATATATATATATATATATATATATATATATATATATATATATATATATATATATATATATACTACTGTTGTGCGATTTGCTATTCTTGGTCTGTTTCCATTTTGTTAGTTAGTCACCCCTAATCCCATCCTCTTTTCGTTTCGATCACGTATATTTTTCATTTTTTATTACACGATGTGATGTAGACTGATGTGCCTGTATATAAACTACGTTTACTTGAAATATTACATGAAATAGTGGGAGCTGGTTACTGACTTATGAACCCGAAGGGATGCAAGAAAGAGAACTTTCGAATCATGGACCAATAAAAACTTAGCAGTTGACTCAAGGTTACTAGTGCTAGTTGAACGTGTAATTAGTCAACTCCGAGATGCTAGGCCATATCTGTCGGGATTCTGATTATTGGTTTTATCACGCGATATTAGTCTACAGCCATAATACATAACACTGGGTTTTGTGGAAATTGTTGATTTTATCATTTAAATTACGAACTGGTCTTATTTAAACGATTGTTGTATACCAGACGACACTAGAAAACCGTTTCAACCTTGTGTCAGTATCTCAGCATTGAACATCCAATAACGCACTAACAATCTAATCTGGTACCTATAGGTCTCTCAACCACTGAACCGACAATATCGCAAATTAATTAAACTTAGATCTATAAACTATTAGATATTGAGTTGATGTAATGGAAGTTAAGCACCTGCTGTGAGATCTAAAGCACCTGGATTTAATTCTGCTGGGTTTCATGCTCTGATAGAGCAGTTAACTAGTTCTTCCTGGTTTTCAATGGATGTCGGACGTATATCAACCCATGATGTATATTATGAAATACTAATAATCACTATGTCGAAAAGAGTAAAAGATCTTCACCAGTAAATAGAATATATTTCAACAAAATCCAGTAGCTAAGTGGATAGCGCGATGGCATTTGAAGCGAACGGTACTGAGTTCGAGTCCCAGAGTGAACATCAACTCTGGGATGCAGGTACATCCAGCTGACGAGTCCTAAACAGGACGAAACGCACGTCCTGGATTCCACTGCTAGCCGCTATCCATCTTTGTTTATAATGCTCCTTATTTATTTTTGGCTCAATTGGTAAGCTATAAATTCTGTTACACAATATTTCGATTACATGGTTAATTGAATTAAACGTGAATAATAAAACCCAACTTGCCCTGTTGAAAGTTTTTCAGTGAAATAACTCATCCAATAAATAATGACCATTTTATCTGAATACCCTTCATTTCTTTATTTATAAAGTAATTTATCATCAATAAACACACTGAATCATTCTATATTCATTAAACTATTTCATTGATTATTTTATTGAAAGGTTCGTAAAAGAAATCATACAGATCTATGTCCAGTACATTTAGTAGCCTATAAAGGAAATTTAGCTATGTTACATTATCTTATACAAAATGGTGTTAATGTACATCAACCTACTTGTACATTACAACGTCGTCCAGTTCATTATGCTGCTTTACGTCAACAAGTGTCATGTCTTCAAATGTTGGTATGTTTCACAAGTTGTCTGTCTATATTGATCTTGTTTGAATTATATGCTGATATTAGATGGTTTAAAGCTAACTGTAGAGATAAATACTCTGGATCTAGGTGATTGTTCTATTTCATACACTGTCTTGTTATCTAAATGATTTATTCAATTTTTTTTTAAAAAAAAAGGGAATTAAACAAATATTTTGTCCTCGTTTGAAACTCTTTATCCACGATTTCATGTTCAGTTGAGTCGATTTAAGGAAACTTAAGTTAATTAATTTTAATAAATTTAATCATACATCTAATATACTTTTAAATTTCCACAACTGTTAACACAACTTATTTACTTACTTACGTCTGTTACTCCTTGTGGAGGAGCATAGGCCGCCTACCAGTACTCTCCATCCAACCCTGTCCTAGGCAATCCTTTCCAGCTCGTTCCAGTTGTTATTCATCCTTATCATATGCACTTCTATTTCCCGACGTAATGTGTTCTTGTAGCCTGTAGCTCTTTTAGAGTTAATACCGGTCCAAAGCCCGATAAAGGAGTAGGGTTAGGCATAGGGTTAGCGACCCCAACCCGCAGAAAACTAGCTCGCTAAAAAACGCTAACCAGAAAAAAATAATTCAAACAATTTAAACTCTGCCCTAGGAATTAGAACGTCTTCATTTAGAAGAACTATGACGCTTCATGGTAAAAACCGAGTTTCTTAGGAAGTCACAAGGTCGCTGCTCCTTCTAGCAACCTGAACAACAATTTTTATAGGTACATGGAACGTCCGGACAATGTGTTAACACAAACTACTCTTTTACTCAGATTTTGTTCATACTTTCTACTTAAAATTTAGATATAAATCTAACAATTCATCCATATGAATGGGATATATTCCAATGACGTTAGTTCCAAGTGAAGTGCATTAGATACATTTTATACATTGACATATCACTGAATAATGACAGTACATCACATTTATTCATCACTCTTAATCGAATTCTAGCTATCAAGTTTTAATGTACCCACTATTTTAAGTTACTAGAAATCATGTGCTACGTGTTGAGATTTTAGGCGGTTGAAAGCGATCGATCAAATACAATCTCTTCCCAACAAAACTTTCATCCTGATGATCCCTTACCCCTCATTAAAATATCAATAGATAGTGTTTCTCACCTTTTAGAAAATAAAATGATTGGTCTCTCATAATTCATTATGATTCTAATTAGAATTTTTAAAATCGTTACAGTAGATGAAGTGAAGTACAAATCAGAAGATCAGACATATATCTAGACGCTGTGCCTTCAGCTAATGACCTTAGGAACATTTCATTCATATATATATATATGCTGATTTGTTAATGGATTTCCGAAATCCTAGTGAAAAGTTTTGAGTAGTGAAGCTCAACCTTATTTCAAGTAAAACAGTCATCACCGACGATATTCGATGATCATTATTCTATATCACAAACTTAATTAAGTTTGTAATGTAGATCTTTGGATGTAATCTTAAGGAAACATGCTGCCTATAATGCGTTAAGACTTTGAGTTTAGTCTCTATTAGGGTTTCAGGTGAGCAGTACAGATGGAGACGAAACACCTATTTAAGGCTCTCTGGTTTCCAGAAGTAGCTCCATCAATGTTAGTACGTGATGGAAATTTACTTCATATTACACGATTCTCATAAATAAATTACTGTACTGTAATCTATTTTACCTTAATTATTGCCATTCTTTAACATTTTGTTGACAATAATTTTGATATATATGTATACATATTTTCAATTATTTAAGTTAAATGCTGGGGCACAAATTGATGCGCGTGATACATTTGGAAATACTCCACTGCATTATGCAGCTGAAGATGGCGATGGTGGACTGCTTAGCCTTCTATTGAACAATGGTGCTTGTGTTGATGCTCAGGTATATTCTTCTATTGCAGATTTATATAAATATTTATCAATCTTTATATTTTATAACTCAAAACACATTTTTAAAGCTGATTTGAAGTGTATTCATTAAGAGGATGCAATCCATTTTATAAAATTACTACAATGATGATTTTCTCAAACAGATCTACTTGACAATTTTAAATGGACAGTTACGAGAAGATAGCATTGGACAATTAACCAACTACTTAGGTGTTGGAGAATGAAAGTTATCTTTCAAACACAATACGTTGAAACTAAGATCTTTGTTTAAGAAAACTAATGGCTGACGAAAGATGGGTATAGGTCCAGATAGCAGCGGGTTATTTAACGAATATGATATTTATTATTCATGAAATGTGTGTTTTCCAGTACTAATGCATAAGACTGAATATTAATCAATCCCTGTTACACCGGTCAAATGGTGACTCGAACAATCAGGTTAGTGCATAACACCCTAATGTTTACAGCGATATGTACTGAATTCAGGTCTTAGTGTAAAACTCAACACTAAAGATCCAGGAACATCCATCTAAATAAATCCAAGTAGGATGAAATGTGATGTAGGCTAAACACTTAGAGACCAAACAAGATGATAGTTCAGGTTGTAGAACACACTTCAAGATGCAAATGGATGATCCAAAGCTACATATATATAAATTATATAAGCACTCCCGCCAGTTACATATCTTACTTTACTGAACTACATTCTGTTTTATCAATAAATATTCATCTAGCATCTAACTTGTTGTATCACATCAAAATGAAAGAGCTATTCAGTGTTCTTTGATATCTTAGTAATCTTTTCTTTTATGCAGTGTGAGTCACTTATCAAAAGAACTTAATTCAATTTCCCTATCATATATACTACTTATATTACCTATTAATCAATTGTGAGTAATATCTCATTAAAATAATGAATAACAACTCAATGAAGGGAATGTTTTCTATTTGAGAAATATAAATTTGCTCCCTTTTTATGTTGATTGTCGTGAAATAACAAACATTTATCATTGATTATATTTGATAAGTTCATACATGGAATGAGTACTTTGTTTTTTTAATAGTTGAATTCACGAGTTAATTAAAGCTAGACCATCATAGAAAACCTGGAAGCACTGGACGACCATTTCGTCCTAGTACAGAACTCATCATCAGTGCATATCGACGATCCCGCTCGTGGGATTAGAACCCAGGACCTACTTTGTTTTTGTTAAATTGACAAATTCTTGCCAGTAATTAAAAATAACAGACATGACCCAAATGTTAATCAATAGAATTCTACAAACTTGGTAAACTGACTATCGAAGAATATTTCTTTTTTTACTTTAAACAAAGTGACAACAAGTAAACAATGATAATGACCACAATCCATTAGTTTATACTAAAACATTTAAGGTGATAAGATTCAAGTACATCCAATATGCAATGAAACGATTGGTTTTCTATACTACAAACTGATTGAGATTGTAAATATGCTAGTTAATTAAAACGTATCATTCATACCGCGAAATCTAAATGATTTTGAATTTAATGATTCTCCAGCTAACTTTGATTTATGTCAAAAATAACATTCGAATGAACAGTATCAAAACAAATAGATTAACATATATAGGCGGACAAGATTGTTTCCAATTAAATCCTCATCAAACCTTACTCTAATTATACAGTAATATTTATATGCATATACGAAAGTATGAGATGCATAACCAGACAACAGAGCCAACAAGTTAGTGAACACCTCCCTTCATGTTTAAGAAAGGGTACCATCGAAACAATATACATCTTCGTTCTATCACACTTGATCGACAGCAGTCATGTAGTAGATAGAAATAGGTCATTTGATGTGATTTATATTATTACTACCAGTTTTCCTTATGGGGTTCGTATATCGTCTCTTACACATAACAGAAGCTATAGGAATTCAAGTCAACAATCCAATTCTTCACCTCTTCCCACCCTTTTCGTTTTTCGACTGCATGCTTCACGGTTCAATTATCTGAACATTTCTTATAACGTAGTCTTACAATCTTTCTATGAATGTTATTTCAATGTCTATAATTTTTTCTAATCATTGACCTATTTTTCATTTTGTAACATTGATTCAAGCCTTTATTATTCTGATCACAACTAGTACACTACCAATTTGTACTTTTCACTTATTATGTTTCATATCAGAAAGGTATTTTGTGGATATTATAATAATTTCAATAGTTGAGATCATGAGTCAATTGATAATAGACCATCATGGAAAACATGAAAGCACTGAACGGCCGTTTCGTCCTAATATGGGACTCCTTAGCAGTGCGCACTACCGAAGATCAAATTGTTCGCTTATGTATATGTTGTTCTAATTCACAATATGGGAATTTTTGAAAATTGCAAAGAAATAATCTAATCATATGTAAAAGAAAAAATAGGATTAACAAGGAAGTTCAGATTCATATAGTAAGGATCATATGCTAGATGGAATGTCTCCGTTATTCCCAGTGATACAGATCTCTACGTTGACTAAAATTTTTTTATGTATACACTTAGGGAATGAACCATTATCATATGAATTTAAGTATGTTCTTTTCGTTGTTAATTGAATTCACTAGTCTGTAATCAGTTGACAAACAAATTGATTTTACAGCTTAATTTGACTTGGATACTTCACTAGATAACTAAGATGTAAAATATTGAGAAACGAGTTTGAACATAATATGTTCAAGTAACTTGACAGTGACCTATCAATAAACAGCTATGCCAGTATAAAGATAATCACTAATCCAATAAATTATTTTTAGTATATAATGAATATAAATTAAAGTATAGTAGGACATCAAAAATATCCTCGCAAATTTTCTGGTAAGACTGAGAGTGAAAAGTTTTCTCTTCTTTTCTAAATCCTTTTATGTTGCATCAGATTTATATCTACACTCAACAGAGTCATACTGGCTTCCTTTTATTGAAAGTAGATGAACGAAAGCGGACGTCCAACCTACAAAACTAAGTTAATAGGTGCAGAAGGTCTATCCGCAGAAGTAAAGAAACCCTAATTTCAAAATAGTGATGTAAGTGATCGCCAGAACGAATGGCATTTGAACCTGTTCTGGTCATTGGTTACCTTAGGACTATATATCCTGGCAATGATCCATTGCCTCATAGATTAGACATTTAGTTCAAAGATTAAAGTAATATTTATCGAGAAAAGTCACCTGTTTTGGCTTGAGTATAGGAGGAGCTTCCCATCTTACTAAAAAAAAACATGATAATTAACCTTTTATCAAAGAGAAAAAATCCTAGCTGAACTTAAAAAATACTTCATGGCTTTTAGGTAGTTCCTTCACAATTATTGTAGTTATATTATCTCTGAACTTGATTTCTATAAAATCATCGAACTCAAGCCTTTAAAAAAGTTATCGTCGATATGCCGTTACTAAGGGCAATATCAACTTTTAAGACATTTAATTGGTAATCAACTTTTTAAACTGTCAGTAATATACTAGTTGATATACTACCAATTTAAATCCATAAAGAGAATACTGTACAATAATTCATGAATCGGCAGCAATTATAAACAGTTGCATCATTCGTGGATAAACTATGTCATTATTGACTTGATTTTGGAGTCGATAATCATATCCACATGATATCATTAAGCAAGTGAATCCGAAGAAAACATTCTGATCTATGTACTATGGTGTTTCATCACAACTAGTCACTATAAACTACTCTTCCATCGCCTCAGCTATTTAGAAAGGGAATATAAATACAACATAGAAAGTCTCACTATCTAAAGTCAAGTACTAATAGTTACGACTAACCTAGATAATATAATTTGATCACTTACCTTGGTTCTGTCAAACGATCCAATTTGTTAGAGTAGCGCGTCAACATAGTTATCTCATATATCAGGAGGCTTTGAAGAATATGTGTGTACTACTACCACTACTACTACTACGACGACGATGACTACGACTACTAATACTGGTTATTTATTTCTACTACTGATGATATAAATATCTTTCTTTATATCTTTTGTTAATTCAATAATATATTCAAAATTGTGAGCTAATCTATGGGTTAACAGGTTCAATAATAGTGCTGTAAAAAAGAGGTCGACTTCACACATGCATTCATTATATTTACTGAAAAAGATTGTTTTTCTTTATCAATAAGTAAAGAACTGACATGTAACATATCATGTTGACTATTTTTAATCAATATATTTCTATGGAAACTTCTCCTGTAGCTCTTCTAAAGTTACTGCCGGTCACAAGAATGGGTTAAGAGGGAGAGTTGAACATGAAGTCAACAACCCTATCCCATAGAAAACAATTTTGCTAAAGAGCGCTAACCAGAGTAAACAAATTAAACCACCTAAAGTCTGTCCTCCAAGTTGGAGGAAAAACTATGAGGCCTCATAGTGAAAGCCGAAATTCTTCGGAAGTCACGAGTTCGTTGCCCCTTCTAAAAACCAGAGCAACAATTTTTATAGGTACACGGAACGTCCGGACAATGTGAAAGGCCAGGAGGACTAATCGAATAGCGGCGGAAATGAGGAGGTACAACTTGTTGGTACTCGACACAAGTGAAACCAATTGGATCCAAGCTAGAGAGCTGAGAATAGATTCAAGAGAGATGCTGCTATACTCCGGTCACGAAGAGGACAATGCTCCACACACTCAGGGAGTCGCTCTTATGCTGTCCAAAGTAGCACGAAACGCACTTGTAGGATGGGAAACTCACGGATCCAGAATCATCAAAGCATCATTCAAAACAAAGAAGGACGGGATCATAATGAATTTTATTCAATGTTATGCACCTACCAATGATAGCAACGACGACATTAAAGATCAATTCTACAAGCAGCTGCAATCAATCATAGAGAAGTGCCCAATAAAGTACCTGACCATTCTGATGGGAGATCTAAATGCCAAAGTCGGAATAGACAACACCGGATATGAAGACATTATGGGACGACATGGACTGGGTGAGAGAAACGAAAATAGAGAAAGATTTGCAAATCTATGTGTATTCAACGAATCGGTCATAGGGGGCACAATATTTCCACACAAACGTATAAACAAAGCTGCATGGATCTCACCGGATCACACTACAGAGAACCAGATAGATCATATTTGCATCAACAAGAAATTCCGAAGGACAATTGAAGATGTGAGAACCAGGAGAGGTGCTGACGTAGCTTCAGATCACCACCTAGTTGTGGCCAATTTAAAACTGAAGCTAAAAAAGAACTGGACAAGTGGACAAACAGCACTAAAAAGGTTCAATACAGCCTTCCTTCGAGATGCTAACAAAATCAACGAATTCAAGATAGCTCTCAACAACAGGTTTCAAGCCATACAGGATCTACTGAAGGAAGAAGAAACTACTATGGACGACTACTGGAAAGATATCAAAGAAGCGTTAACTTCAACGTGTCAAGAGGTGCTGGGTCTAAAGAAGCACCATCATAAGTAATGGATCTCTATGGAAACCTTGATAGGATACAAAAAAGGAAGAACAAGAAGACTGAAACTAACAACAACCGAACAAGAACCGAGAAAGTCAAGGCAGAAGTTGAATACACAGGAACAAACAAGCAAGTGGAGAAGAGCATTCGAGCCGACAAGCAGAAATATGTGAAAGAGCTAGAACGGATATCGGAAAAAGCTGCAAGAGAAGGAAATATGAAACGACTACATGATGCAACGAAGAAACTGATAGAGGAATATTGTAAAGCAGAGAGACCAGTCAAAGTTCCTCCCCCCAAAGATCTCACCTATCCTGTGCTGACAAAACATTTTGCGAATCATCTCCGACTTTCCTATCACTTTAATATTTTTATTTACTTTTCAATGTCAGGTTTTTATGCTTCCTCTTATAAAGCAAGAAAACAGAAAATGTTAAGTGACTAATATAAGTTCTGTTACAATAAAAAAATATGGTATCGATACAATCAATAAGAATGACCTTATAATGTAATTGGAGAAATCTGATTTATTTTCGGTACATCGATAACTACGTTCAAAATTATATTTAATTATAATAAAAGGGGTGAGATTAAATGGTCTCTACTGTCAGCAAAATAACCTTTTTCAGTCGACAATATTCGTCCTAGAGCCTGATGCGAATGATCATACCATTTTGGTGGAGTTTTGTTCTCTGAGCTGGATGGTTTGGTCGTGGAGCTTCAGATAGAAGTTTGTGCTGATGATGTCGTTCAGAAGAACGATGAAAGCTCCACGACCAAACCATCCAGCTCAGAGAACAAAACTCCACCAAAATCATCCACCTGAGCTACAAATCTTCTCCACCATCTCAATGATCATACCATACTATCACAATGTGATAAAATTAGCAGGACTGTTTTGAAAGGGATTGCAATGATAGTAATGCCAATGTCATTTAGGAAGAGTAAACATTGAGAGAATGAAATGGAAGTGTGAAAAGTGTAAAAATCATTTTGAAACTTTAATTAAGAAGGGCAAATAAATAATATACTCACACCAGTGTGATTGATTCTGAATCATCCTTAAATGTTCCCAACTATCAATCGCAATTATTTAACGGACCCTAAAAACAAGTTGTATACACACCTTGTAGCTTGACCTAAGCTAACAGTCAACAACTTTATCATGATTGACCATGTTTAATGGGATACACTAAAAACACGATTCTCATTAGCATTAAATGATATATGGATTCAATAAAGTTGAAGTTGAAAGAATAACTAACTGAGAATAGTGAACAAAGATCATGTATCTTTTCATGAAAGTAATAAAGGTTTGAAATTCTAAATTCAATTCCATATTTGGCTGTGATTATGTGATAAAAAATACACCTTTCATATTAAAAGTTATGATCATAGTATCTTCAGAACATACAGTCTCTTCCTATTCAATAAATGTATGGCTGGTGTGAGGATAGTCCACGGGTGAACTCGAGGAAGCTCTAAGAAGCTCAGAAAGAGTCGGAAATATTCCATCCAATCATCTTTTGGGTGAGAATATTCTAGAATCCCTACGTGTAGCTTCTCTATTGGATAAATGCTAATAACTCCCTGTGTGCGGATTGGATAACTATAATAATGATTTTGTTTTTACTAAACACTACAAATACCTGACAGTTTTGTACTATAATTGACACTGTCTGGAATAATATTCCTTCACTTGCCTTCTGTCTTCTAATTTGCGACTTGGGAGTGTTCCACCGTCCGAGTGCTGAATTCATACGCGGTATATTAAGAATCTAAGCTCTAGATATAACAGCTGGTTTGTTTTATTCACCATGCATCCATATAAATATTAAGACTGTTTGATTAATTTTGTGGGAGTTCATTATTGTTGACATTTGAAAGATTTATTCATTTCATTGCTAATGTTGTAGTGTGGGTTACTTATATTCACATAAGTAGTATATAGCGGTGGTCAGGCATAAAATGTATTTCAGTAGAAGATCGATAAGGAAAGAACGGGAACGGAACACAATTGGTATGAAAATGCATGAACAATGAAATCTGAGACAATGAGCTGATATTTATAAAGGAACAGTCAAATTTGAAACGATGGATAGATTTTGATGGAGTTTTGTTCTCTGAGCTGGATGGTTTGGTCGTGGAGCTTTCATCGTTCTTCTGAACGACATCATCAGCACAAACTTCAGATAGAAGTGAAGTGTTTGAATTTCTCCATAGGTGTCTCAAAGCTTGTTCTGTGCACCTCGACGTTGATTGGTTCTTATTGACCTTAAATTTATCGTTGTTTACTTCATTGTTTTGATTTTTGTTCTTATGTTTGTGCATGATTTTTCTGATTGGTTGATAAATTGGATTGATTTCAATATGCTTGTTGATTGCCGATTGACCTGAGTGCCAGGCTTCTAAAAATTCTCTGGTGTTTTTGGAGTTTCCTCTGTCTAAGATTTCCACATTTTTCCAATCGAATTAGTGTCCGCAGTTGTCCACGTGTATTGATATAAGTGAAGAGATATCATGCCGTTTGACTGCTTATTGATGTTCATGTAGGCGTTCATGTAAGCTTTGAGACACATATGGAGAAATTCAAACACTTCACTTCTATCTGAAGTTTGTGCTGATGATGTCGTTCAGAAGAACGATGAAAGCTCCACGACGAAACCATCCAGCTCAGAGAACAAAACTCCACCAAAATCATCCACCTGGGCTACAAATCTTCTCCACGATGGATAGATATTTTGCAAATTAACTATTTACTTTATGGTTCTCAGATTTTATTGAGACGCTCTATAATTTTGTGTCAAATACATTCGATTGCCACCCGCTCGTGTTCTTGTTCACTACAATGTCACCATAGAAATATGAATTCTTTAGAACTATTTCTATCTTTTAGTGTATTTGGATTGTTTCTTACAACCGAATCCTCGAATGCATGTCTCATCTTGTTTGTGACTGGCTAATAACATTACCACTCATTCCAGTATTGAGGTTTACATTGAAACTTGAATCCAGTACTTATCACTTTAAACGTCACTGCTTATGAATACTAATCTTTATTAAAAGAGACTGTTTATTTCTGAGCCTAGTTTGTATCAACTGTGATTGTATTTAATAATGATTAGAAATGAAACTCAAAAGGCTCATTCTCTTCTTTATTTTATTTTTATTGATTGAAATGGCTTGCTTTACACTAATGACAGTTTATAATGAGACTTAAAAGTGGAATGTAACCCACTTGAAATAGATTTCCCTTTTTCACACATAAGAATATAAATTAAACAACCTTTTTTAGTATGTAATTGTGTAGTATTATGTGATCTATAATCATAAGTATCTACACTGTGGAACAGTTTCGTTTACTCCTTGCCTCTTTTCAACTCTCAAGTTCAGTATCATTTCTTACTTTAACATTATTTTTTATAAGATCTAAAGATTATTGAATTGACCTCGTGTAGGATCACTGATATATGTACTCCATTGAGAATTAATAAAGTAGGATATAACAAATATTCAGTTCTTTTTTTGTTATCGAATGTTCAGTCCTGTCGATATCAGTTTATGGAGATATTGATCATTGAACCTAACAATTCTAAGTGTGAGGAATATGTATATATATAGATGAAATTCTTCAATCATCTTTACATTAATTCATATTTGTTTTTAACTATTTTAGGATATTACAAATAAAACACCATTAATGAAAGCTGCACGTAGTGGTAAAGTATGGGCTGTTCGACGACTTTTACTATTTGGTGCTAATGTAAATGTAAAAGATCGTAATGATGAAACAGCATTACATTTTGCTTGTCGACAAGGATCTACAGAAATAACTAGAATGTTAATTAAAGTGTGTTATTCTATTTTGTTATAAGAAATTTATAGAAATTAATTGAATATATAAGAATTAACAGTTCGAATTCCTCTAGGCAGATGTATATGAATGAAAATGTTATTTCAGTCATCAAGTGTTATGAAATCCTGATGATATTGTAATGTGATAGTTATATTATGTTATTAACTAATCATCTCTTTAATAAGTCTGCATACTGAACGCTCACAATCTGAATTCTTAACTGCTTCTAATAACATCAGACTAAATCTACACGGCAATTTGATGAACGTACGAGAAAAGGCATGAATTATAAAAGGCGAAGACTATTGATAAAGAATTATCTGACTCTCAAAATGAATCCAAAAATGATCTTCTCAGAATAAGGTTTTGTCAAAGTTAGATATTAACACCATTGTATGTCAACGCAGTGGTCTACATGTAAAGCATTGGCGCTTGCGAGACCGATAGGTCCTGGGTTGGAATCCAGCGAACAGGGTCGTGGATGCGCTCTGCTGAGGAGTCCCGTACTAGGATGAAACGGCCGTCCAGTGCTTTCAGATTTTCCATGGTGGTCTAGCTTTAATCGACCCATGAATTCAACTATTTAATTCAGTCAGACGGTCATGACTGCTGTTAGAGGTATGAGGGCAGTTATCACTTCTCGGTTGCCCACGCCGTGGAAGGGTTCTTCTAGAGGCACCTGAAAAGGAAATTCGGTTAGAGGTGGTCTTATTAAACAGAGAGCGTGACCGCAGTGTCCAAGAAACAACTGCTTGAGGTCGGTCACACACAACCTTTTTATGAGTAGTTTTCCTGTTACCTCCGTACTTATTGAGACCTTACCACTGGAGACGGATATCCGTGGGATAAGGCGAAGTTTGCAGTTTTAGAGTCGACATTTTCTAACCCCACTCATTCTTGTGAGAAGGCAGCATCGCTGTTATGCTGGTTGTCTGAAGGAAACAACTTACTGCCGTCGCACCTCTGTACAGTATGGCTTCGTCTTCGGACCTTGGGTTTGCTGTTTTTAATCTTATCGTCCTTCAATCGACCTGTCTGACATGTTAGGACTTTGAGGAACGATTGTTCCAGTCAATGTAGTTCAATTGGTTCATCACGATAAGTAGTCCCGACCACCATGTCAAGGTAGCAACAACAGTCGGCAACTATTAAATTAAAAAATGATTTTTCAATATACCGCATTTTATGTGATTTATTTAAAGTTAGATTTGTATGAGTTGAATTTACTTGTATTTAACAATAATCATTCAGTAACTTTCAATATGAAGAAATATTTACTATGTTGTACACTCAAGCATCTATAACCCTTCTTAAGATATGAATACATGTTATTTAATTGGAAAAAAACTCGATTTCACATGTCATTCACATCAAACGATTTACTCACTGAACAACCTTCACGGAATACATTCAAGGTACTGGAGCCGATGTTTTAAGATGGTGGCATTAACTGAATTATTATCACTGTACCAGAATATCGATTGCTAGAATTTTGTTCTAATTACACAATCTCTCTACTTATCACAATAATAATTAAACAACAACGATTATTGAACACAAACGATTACTAGGCATTCTAAAAGTCAATTAGTTGGATTTTATAAATACAAAATAAGAAATACTCTTACCAACCTTTTTGAGGTTAAACTAATCTCATGACAATACCAAAGGTAACCCATGTTGACATTAACTGCCCTGGTTTATCATGTAAATAGATTGGTCTCAGCTGTCATTAAATTTCACACACGAACAATCACTACCTATCACGAAGTACAACAGGGGCAAATATATAAATGGTTTAGTCAATGTTTGACAACCTTAGGCAACACAAATCGTTATCCTTATGGTCAAATATGACAATGTATGTCATCACAAGTTTGTACTATTATAGTTCATTACTCAGCTATTACATAAGTGTCATTTAATGTCTCTTCTTCTTCTTTATTTATTTATTTTGTCAGGCCGAATCACGTTTAAACGCACAAAATCAAATTGGTTTAACACCATTAATGGAATCTGTATCGTATAATCAACGAGAAGCTGTTAGCTTATTGATAAAACATAAAGATATTGATTTGTATAAAAGAGATTTTTGCACTGGTGATACAGCTTTACATATTGCTGTGAAAAAGAATTATATACATATTGTAGAAATATTATTAAGAGCAGGTAAATCAGTAATATCTTTATTAGATGATATACAGGATAGTTGTAGGGGTACACAATGTTTCATTCTGACATCAAGATCTTCTTAGATCATTCATCTTGTATTAAATAGTTTAATTTATTAAGTTAGTTTTCTATTGGATCAAGTCAATCAATCATTTTATCAATGATATCGATCTCTATGATTTATGATTTTTCCATTAAAATCTAGGATGCTATTGATTTTACAGCAAGGCTATTCACAAAGGTTAATACCTTAAACGAGACGGGTTATTTTTTCTAATGAATCAAGGGTGAGATTATAATTTATGGACAACGTTTCGGCGACGGTAGACTAACCCTTGAGAGTGTCCACTTAATAAACAACACCGAATGAGGTTTATCAACTTGTGTGAGGAATTATACTTATAATTTACAGTTGATGATCAAGGTTAGAAATTAGATTTCGGGTTTTCAACACGAATTGACATAAGCTCTAATGCCAAAACTGTATTTATCAAAATGGATGAGTGAATTTCGCACAAAAATCTGAGACCTGTTATCTTACACCTGATTGGTTCGTTCATAATTTGTAGTCTCGCTGAATCAAGCGTTTCATTTCGGGCTTTAAAAGTTGCTAAGGTGATGCATGCCCAGTCGAACTGTCAACGTCCTCGGTTGATAATAATATTGAACATGTGATCCCCAGTTTACAATCAGAATTAATGATGATAAACAACACTTTAAACGATTCTTAGTGAGTACAGTTTTATCCTCGGTGTTTCCCTTTATTGATGCGAGTCCTTATCTGAGAATACCTCACTAATTATATAAAACGAACAAGGCAGCTAAAGAGTCCGATTTCCGAGAGGACCCAACAGTGTTCAAAACAACGAGAATCACAATAAGACACATGTGAATATTGTAAAAGAGATAGCATTCATGTAATTTTTATAAAATAGAATTTATGCATTCACTGAACAGGCTGAGTAGAACCGTGATACGATTTTTTCAGTATTGTTTTGAAACACTAAATGCGTTATAATACATAGCCCCCAAATGACCTGGTATGGCCGAAGGTGGTGGAAGTCAGCTCTCTTTCTTGAAATGCTCTCACATGGCTACGAGCATACAACCACCACCAGGGAATTACTACTCACTGCCTTCAAGCGAAAGGACAGTTAATTAAGAAATTGAGAGGACAAAAAGAGAATGTCCAGCGCTTCAACCAGATTCGTGGACGCGGAGGGTTCACCTAGGGGATTTGAAAAACCCTTATTCTAAACCGATGGGCTCCGGGATCCCAAGGGATGAGAAGTCGTATGAATCTATTGTCAATCACCGACTACCATGCGACTGCGTCTCTTGACGTCGCTCCACTGACCCGTGGATTAGACCTCTAAGTCGAAGGCTTATGGCGTGGTCCTCTAAGAAAACCATCTACTTCGGTTTAGGCATCCGGGCAGTATCCCGGCCGTCGCACAAACCGAGTGATTTATGTACTGCATTTCTACTTGATGCCTACTTGTACCAATGTCCACGTGTTTTATGTGATATAACATCATTTCAGATAGAATGAGTATGTTTAGCACATAAAGACCAACGTACATCAATTTTTATATTTTCTTAACTTCATTTTATATATACATTACCACAGGTAATTGGTATATCGAATATAATTATAACAATTTGGGAGAATCATTTGTACACGATGTTGTTGCATATAATCGATTAGAATTATTACGTTTATTTCTTGCATATAATTATGATTTGGATAGACCAGCTAAACGTCTTCCACCGAATATACATTTACTTTCATCTTTAAATCATCAAACTCTATTGAAAAATACACAAAATACTATTACAACATCAATGATTCAATCAGAATCAAATAATCGAACATCTATAAATTCATTTGAAAAATCACCATTTAAAATGGCATTAGAACGTGGACATCTTGATATGGCTAGAATATTAGCTGAAGTTGGTTGTTTTTGTACACATTTACCAATTAATTCAAATAGTATACCATCAGTATGTACAACTTCATCATCCTCATCGTCATCTTCAGCATCATCATCGTCGTCGAACAACAATAATATTCCCGAAACGAATTCAATCAATTCAACAGTTAAAAATTCTCATTTCATTAATCAAAATCTTTTAACACGACGTTATAATGGTTTACTTGAAGTTAAATCTTTACAAAAATGGTGTCGTAAAGTGATAAGACAACGTTTAGGTTTTCGTCTTATTGAAGCATTACCCTTATTACCTATACCAGTACCATTAAAAGATTTTCTATTACTTCGTGATATTGATTGGTCAATTTATTTAAATAATATTCATAATAATAATAATAGTAATAATCGTAGTTCTATTATAAATTCAGGGGAATTAGCCATTATAGTACCAACTTAATCATTCTCTTCTTCTTTCCTTTTCTTCTCTTTTCTTTTTCTTTTATAAAGAAAGTAACATTTGGACAACACTTCTCTTCCTCTTTTCTTTTCTCTTTTTTTAAAGAAAAAAGAAAAGACAAAACAACAACAACAACAAACTTAATAGATAAACACAAACATGATCAGTTTCAATTGTCTGATCTCTTCTTCTTCTTCTTCTTCTTCTTCTTCTTCTTCTTCTCAAGTCTAGATTAGTAGATTTTCACATAATTACATAATTTATTTACAAGAAACAAAAACTCATATTTAGGTTTATCCAATTACATATAGAAATAAATTGATATAACAACATCATAGGAGATTCATACTTATTATTATTTGAAATCAAATGGAACTAATAATAAGATACGTATCTGTGCCAATAAACATTGAAATATATTTCTTGTATTCTATATATATATGCTTTATTTATTTATTTGAATATATAAATATTACTGGTTAAAATCATGAGTCAATTGAAGCTAGACCACCATGGAAGATCTGGAAACACTGGACGGCCGTTCCGCCCTGGTACGGGACTCCCCAGCAGCAAGCGTCCACGATCTCGCACCCCGCGAGATTCGAACCCAGGACCTATCGGTCTCGCGCCAGGCGCTTAACCAACTAAACCACCGAGCCGGCCCTCATCCAATGCTGTTAATGTCTAACTCCAACCAATCCACGAAGTTGCGCCACCGTACACCATTGTCTTCAGTGAGTTGATATCTCACAAAAGACTTGGTTGAACTCACAATTGATTGATCACTGGGTGGTGATCAATGTCGTGCTTGTCTAGTCCTTATTATTGCAGATTGAATGCTATCGATCATGTTGCAATGTGGCCACCAGTCTAGGTGACTCGACACTGCGGGCACTATGTATTGAGATTTAGATGTATTAGTGCAGACTAGACAAGCAGGACATTGATCATCACCCAGTGATCAATCAATTGTGATTACATCTCAGTCCTACAGGAGGTTAGTCACGGCTCGGATAGCTCAGTGATAATGTATCTGACTGTGAAGCTGGGTGACACGAGATCGAATCCGCCAGGGAGCACCAGTTCCCTCAAGATTACAGGTACACCTTGCTGACGAGTGCCAAGTAGCACGAAACCCGGGTCCAGGGTTTCCTGTTGACTACCTCCAACCACCATCTAAATCTCACTTGGTTGAACTACACTGGTAACGGCTTCTCACCAGAATCGTGGATATGCACTGCTGAGGAGTCCCACAACAGGACGAAGTAGCCGTCCAGTGCTCCCAGGTTTTCCATGATGGTCTAGCTTCAATTGACTCATGATTTCAATCAGTGAAATTTCTAAAATCTCCACAAAACCCCTTCTGATATAAATATTAGTACAAAGGGGCATCGAATACATATGCGCACCGTACATTTCACTTGATTTGTGTGGGTTATGATACTTCCCAGGTGCCCAAACCGAAGCAAGTGATTTTCTTAGGGGATCATACCCAGAGCCTACGACGTAAAGATCCAATCCACAAGGCAGTGAAGCAACGTAAGAAGATGCAGTTCCACGATAGCCGGCGACCAATAATTGTTTTGTACACTATTTGTTCCCTCAGGACCCTCGAGTTCATGTGCACCATTGGTTTGGAATGAGGGCTTTCCAACTCCCCTATCTGGATCTACCATATCCATCAACTCGGTTAAAGTACCGGACATTTGCTTTTCGTCTCTCAGTTTTATATACAACACCCCCGCCTGGAGAAAACAGTGAGGAAGACTTTCATGATAGTGGCTGTATACGTGTGGCCATGTGAGAGCATTTCGAGTGGGAGAGCTGACTCTCCCCACTCTCAGCCATGCCAAGGCATTTGGAGGCATATGTGTGTACCATCAATAATGAAGTCTGTAAGGATTATTTATAATGATTATCCTAATGAATATTTCAATGTTAATTTAGATAGTATAGTTTAGCCTAATCGAAGATATATTATAGATGATCAATATCAAAGTTTATATTATCAAACTAACATCATAAGTATCATCTGTATAATCATGTATTTTAATGAAGTAAATATAATGAGCCTATTATAAGAAGCCGTGACCAGTGGAGTTCATCCGGGTCTGTTGTGAGATAGTAATTCAATGAAGACAATGGTGGACGACGGAGGAATTTCGTGGATTGGCTGATGTTAGACATTAATGCCGTTGAATGCCGACTCAGTGGGATAGAGGTTAAGCGTTCGCGCGAGAGAGACCGATAGGTCCTAGGTTCGAGTCCCGCGAGCGGAACCGTGAATGCACACTGCTAGGGATTCCCATACTAGGATGAAAAAGCCGTCGATTGCTTCCAGATTTTCTATGGAGGTCTAGCTTTAATTGACTAATGAACTCAACTATTAATTATAAGATGTCGGATTATTGAAAAATTGACAGTAATTGATAATGTGGACGTGAAATTGTTGATAAATAATTCAAACAAATATGAAATGATGTGATATTTTATTTTACCATGAATTAGCAACAAAAAAAGAATTAAACAGAAGAGATTCATATTTATTCTTGTTAGAGTTTTCAGTACTGGGTAGTGTGTGTTATAACATGTGCCCTATTTAATGTATAACGTGGTGATACCGCCAATTAAAGAATAGTGAATTATCGATTGGACCAATGACGCATAAAACAAGTACGAGCAGTCTAGAGTTCTTATCAATCCTGCTTCCCGCCTAGCCCTGCCTGTTAAGTCCAGAACACCAGTCTCAGCCTCTGAGATATGAATCATGTATTTCAAACATGCTGGGTTTATATACTAACCAGACAGACCACATCATACCATAAAATAGTAAACAACATTTGTACAAGATTTGGCCAAATGTGGCTATGAATGTGGTAGATAGTAATTATTAGACAGAGCATAATTCAAGAATGGAAAATCGTATAATAACAGTTCATAGGTTAAAATAAGGCGCATAATAAGAGAGACATGAATATGTATAGTTTAGTTATTCAACAACTATATCATAAAAATGTACTCATAGTATTGGTCCATAAATGGATCTCAAAAGTTACCATTCATTATGCTTATCAGGACATCACAGAAATAACATTGACAAGTATCAGAGGACTGGAGTCTAGTAATCTTTATCATGTATTCAAGGCTCTAATACAGATTATGATTATATCAACATTGTCTATTGTGAAGTCTATATCATTAGACTTGATCATAGATCAGTTTAACAGTTGAATACTTTATAAATTGGCACTGTATTTTGATTTAGTTTACCTCGATGCTAACCAACTCACAGTGGTGAAGCATGGATATGTAGATCACTTTCATAAATAAAGGTCCATTTCATTTTTGTTTTGGACTATGTATCATCGTTTTTCCACTATTATTTCATTAATTGATATCTTTTTAACCCCTGTCAACTTATTGATTTTTTGCGTCACTATCTAATGCTATTCATCGCCTTTACCGTTTACATTATACGCTATCAATGCTCATAATCATTATGTCAACTTTATCAATACACGTTTAAATTACCTTAGCTCACTGTGTGTTTCGAGTTCACTGAATTGATTTACCGTACATAATATTTATTTGATATACACTACCGGAATCCAATAGTCTCTACCGACTTGTTAATATGAGTTATCGATATTATAATGCGAAACTATAAATTGTTACCATGTTCTGCTCTTCATTAAAGGGGTTGATAGTATTTTACATAGTTGTACTTTCATACTTTCTATTTCTTTTTTAATTCTATAGTTTCACGTAAATTGATTTCCTCTATTTGTTTGTCTACTTTCAATGATTTTATGATAGGCAAGTCTTGTTTCATGGAATTATAGAGAATTTAAAGTGAATTATCCAAGTTTAATCGAAGAACCACGTGTTGGCAACTATTTTTTACGTTTATTGTTTGAAGAACATCGACATGTGAATGAAGTAATTGATGCCATTTATTATTCTCATGGGAATATAACACCTCATTTTTTTAAAAAAAAAGTTGGAAAAGTGTTTATTTGGTAAGAATCGAAATGTTTAGAAAATCATGGGTATTTATAGATATTAGCATTTGTGAAATCTTTATGATTCAGCCAATCCGCAAAGGCATATTATGCTACTGTCCAATAGTACCATGCCACGTTAATATTCTAGAAATATCCATCATATCCTGATTGGCTGGGAACTCCTTGGCTCCTTTAGGGCATCTGGAGGCTCCGTTGTAGTTCTCAGAAGCCAACTCAACAGTGTGAAATGAATCCCGAAACCGCTCTTATAGATGTGTAAGAATAGTATACAGTACAACAGCTTGAGTAAAAGTGAATACTTCTGAGATGATATATTCACTAAGACAATGGACACCAAGAAACCTAGAAGTCATATAAGGTCGTTTAGGATACTACTTACAAACATATAAAACTTTGTAATTGATGATGTTTAGAAGTTATTCGAGTGTTCTTTTTTGGCCTCAAGACAAAAGAACCGATAAGTGATCTTCAAATATGCATCAGTAGACGAAAAGCTATATAATTTGTAATTTACTCTACTTAACATCGTAAGTTGCACAAATCAGCTTGTTTCCTGATTTGTGAAAGTTTTCTCAAGGGCATTTTATCGATCGTTATGGTTAAATTTCACTGTTATACGCACTTTTATTAGTTTATGTAAGTTATTTACCAAGTACACATTCATTTATTGGGATTTGTGCTGAACTAGGGATCCACCATTCAGAAGATTATTGTTTCGACAATAAACTTGCATATTCTAGCCATAAGCAATGTTTTGCTCTTTTATCCGTAAAGATCTAAAACGTGTATGTATGTTGATATGATCTTAGTTTCTAAAATGAATCTAATGTACAACTCAAGTTTACAAGGTATTTTCTGATCATATGAGTAGATTACTTTGTATCAGGTAATTATTCACCAAATATTTTGTTAGATGATAATAAATTAAGTACTATTACGTAATCAAATATTTACGAATATGTTCGAAGAAATGAT